AACGACGTGATACCGAACGCGCTTCATCAGATAGATTCATACTCTACAAAATATCACAAAATTGAACAGAGTCGCGTAGCGTGTGATTGCCAAGGCGTTTCTATACTGGCTGACGGACTTCTGAGGGTCAGGGGGCTAATTTATGGTAGAGGGAGTCATGCATAGATAATATGAGTCGTTAAGGGACAGCTGGTTTGTGTCTTTGCTAACCCGTAGAAAATCGGAGTGCGAAAACCTGTTTTCGTTTCTTTATTTGTGCTCCAGTGATGAAACCACTTGGCATTTCGAATTTGTAGCTCACGTATTATTTGCTTCACTATAAATTGCATATTACACGGCGCGAGGTCTGGTGTGAAGTAGTGTTTTTCATCCAATGAGAGTTTATGAAAGGAATTCCTCTCATAGTGTTTGTCTTCTGAATTGCCCTTTCATATATCATTTATCTGAGGCGATACTGTGTCAAGCAAATCACGGTACAACAATCTTTATGACAGAGAAATCAGTGTATTGTGGGTGGAATACTACCAGGTTGTGTAGGGATTCAAAACCACGACCTTCGGCTAGTTGAAGCCTGACCCGTAAGGCAACAGGGTGGTGGGAAAACCGCAATATTTCTGCGGCCGGTTTCCAGATTATCCCACCATACGCTACAACCTGGAGCCATTCTTCATATGCTCTTCGTTCGGTTCTACTTCACCATTGTAGAAGTGGGGCTGATGTCAGTAATTAACCCCCACTTAGTCACTGGAAGCAAATTAGAAAATGTGTCACAACACAAGAATTTCTTCAACAGTCGAATTACGGTAGGCAAAGGGACTCCTGGGTGGTGTAGTGTTACACGCGTCAGCATCGTTCGTACAAAACTAATTGGAGAACTGATGTTAGTGGACACACAGACATGTCTTAGTTAGTTCTCATTCCATCATCATGTTAGGCCCTGGCAACCGAATTCATCCAAATTTTCCGAATCACAGGTTTGACACTTTGAGCATTAAAAACAGACTTTTCAGGCTGATCACAAAATCTATCTTATTTATGGTGTTTTGTTCAATTACAGTGAGTGGAGCGATGCGCGGGTTACAGTGCAAAGACGTGGGTGTATATCACTCTCAATTCTACAGTTGATCGTTTTTTGTTTCAAAAAACACCGCGCATGAGCACGTACGTTTCGTGCGCGTGCGCGCGTAAGTTCAGCCACTCTGTAGGAAAAGAAATGTGATCGAAACGTTAGCAAAGTGATTTATGAAAAGCACTGTTTCGGGCTGAAATAAACAATTTTATTTAATTTAAGAAATCCTACAATTATCCGTGCTTTCCGCCTTTATATATATTGCGGACAAGCATGGTGCTAACGCCACAACCGGATAGCCTAACCTCAGTAGGTGCTCTTCATCGAGAGGGTAATACACCAATGAATGGGATTCATGTGATTGATAAGCATTATATTGCTTATTTTACGAGTAGCTGAAAGCATTTTGCTGGAATTCGCATTTGGTGTAAGATGCAGTCTAGTTTCGTTAAATGTTTGCCCTATGAACGAACAGTTTGATAGTGTTTTTTCCTTTTCGAAGCCGAATGAACAAGCTATAAAAACAAATAGTGTGGTAGGCGACGCGTGGGTATTGAAAAGCATATATGTTTTCCGACTATTTAGTTCCGGTTCGTGAAAACTTTGGTTTAAACCTTTTCAAGAGCTAATTTTCTTATGTTCATGCTTTTAAATTCAGTGGATTTTCTCACTAATGGCTACAAACAATGAACGAGCTTCACGATAGATGGGTGTTAAGAGCATACCGGCTTTAAACACCAGAAACCCAACACTTAAGTGCGGCAACGCGAGTTCTGTCATATTTCAGCTTTAAACCATTAACCATGCACTTTTTGAGATGGTTTTGATTGCTGTCTTTTGACTGTTCGTTAGGATGAAGGAGTATAGGGGAGACTGGAGCGTTGAGAGCAGTGACAATATAAAGAGACTAGACTAAGGTCACAGAGAGAGAGAGAGAGAACAAGAAGATGCAGTAGCCCCACTGTTTACAACACTTAACCATTTCATTAATTTCCGATAACGATCAGTGATTCAGAAGTTTTTAACCGGCTGGCCGAAAGTGACCCATGTCCAAGTCACCTGGTTAGCACTTTTATACCCTCATGTCAAGTTTTAGTTTAACTACCTTCAACCTTCTTTCAACCTGCCATGGACTTGGTTTTCATCGCGCTATTTACTACAGGCATTAATCAGAATGTACGGTTTCTGCCGCTCTGGAAGAATAGCAACGATTCAGAAATTTTCCGGGCACAACAGACGGTTATTCATATAGTTGGCTGGATTTTCGTATTTCTGTCTGGCATGAACATCTTTGATTGGTCATGAGAGAATAGATCGCACGATTAATGAAAGAAAGTAGCTCATTCTTGCTGGAATAGCTTTAAATAAAAAAGCTTAGGATGCCGGGTACAAATTTTAGCATGGAGGTATAGAACAATCAAAGTGGTGTCCAGATAAATTATCCAATAGTAATGAGTGGACAATAGTATTACAATAGTAAACCGCACGTCATTGATACTGCTCCCCGCTAACACTGGTGCTCCTCTTATATTTTTTTCCTTTTAGCACGATTTATTTGCAATCTGCAACCGGAAAAATTTCGCCGTATTTCAACAATAGAACAATCGTATCTCGAAAGTGGATTCGCGGGTAGAAACATGCAAACAAAATGAAATATAAAATATTACATGGAAGGCGATGAGTGGACAACCAATCTTATCTGATGATAGAGGGTAGGTCTGGGTATTCAAATAAACGATGGTTGTTATTTCAGAATGCTTTGCCTTTTATTTTTTATCTTTTAGCAGACACGATATTATCGGAGGTAATTTATATGACCTAGACGAGGTAGATAACGGTAAACTGTTGAGGGAAGACACAAGTACGTTGAACGCTTTTCTGATTTGTTTCAGTACGAATGTTCTTCATATGTTTTGGGCTTTCCGAATCTCAAATACCATTACAAGATTAAATCGATTCCACTCTCAATCCCACTAAAATCGCGAAGACAGTTGACAAGTTGGATAAACTTTACTATTTAGTTGACTAAATCACTCCTGATGAACAAATCTCAGATGAAGTGTTGATACACGTGCAGAAGGCTCGACTGGACTTTTTCAACGCCCAAATATACACCAAACAAAACATGCAGATTATATGCTGAAGTTCGTCACGCAAAGAGGAGATGGAGCGTGAACTGAAAACCTGGGAGGGACTAGACCGATATTCCGACTTGTTTGGGTCTCATCGACAGTGCAAATCCATCGATCCAACTGGGGATCGAATCCGGGATAGGTAGAGCGCAAGCATACTACCCACTCAACCACCGGGCAGCGGATCAGACCATTTGCATACGTTTACTTATGCACGATATAGGGCAACCCATAATAATGTAGCAGATAGCCAGGTTCGGAGTGGGTTGTATGCGCGCGTTCTGCCTGTGAGGTCCCGAGTTAGACTCCCAGTTGGATCAATGGATTCTTGCTGCCGACGAGACCTGACCAGCACTTCCTAACTTTTTAATTGTATGCATCATGTTCTCTGCAGACGACGAACTGCACTAAATAAAACGGAATTTAAATGTCTTACGGTGTCTGTATTTAAATATCTTCTCGCTCGAGTTTTTCTTTATATCACGAAGTTGAGCACAGTAAGAGCCTAGCGTTTGCGAGTAAAATAATGACCAAGAGTAATGGACCGTGAGGCAATTTGTGGTATGAACCTCACACATGCTTCTCATGTTTTGTCCCAGTGACCTGTAAACGAATTTCCGGACAATCTGTATTCTATCGCCGACGGAAAAAGAAGAGCGGTGCACAAAAGAGGCAACGAGAACCGATGCATATCCCGGGACTTTCCATCATCTTAACAAACTAAGGAAAAAGGCCAAAACAATATGTTCAACTGAAAAAAACGAGTAGAAATTATGCTATCTTACAATGTAATTATAGCTGGAATCGACTCGAAAGGGCAAATAGCGGTTGGATGAGTTGCGCAAACGAAAACGGACAAACGGATAAGTTTCGGAAATCACTCGAGAAACCAAACTGATCCTAACATTTCGTATATCATTTTCCAATTCACCATCAACTGCGGTGATTCATATATATTGTCAGAACGAACGCAATGAGCTCACCGGAACGGCCTGCCCGATCGATGACCACAAAAATCGGATGCGTCAAATACATTATACATTTTGGCAACAGTTTACCCAGTCGACCACAGAGGGTAGAGGAAACAGTTACCAAAACAAGAGCGAGCTAGGTTTGGGTGAATAAAAGATTATGCAAAAACTCAAAACAAGATATGAGATTCTGTCTTCTATGCATGGTACTTTGTGAAAGATGTTTTTAGTGTCTTATTCCCAATGATTTATCCGTTGAAACGATTGTGTGTACAGTGGTGCAAGTACAACAACAACAACAACAATAACAACAACAACAACAACAGTTTTACAGAAGAAAAAGGGATTTGGGTGATTATCTTCAACCAAAAATGTTCAGGTACGCAGTGCATTATAGGAGACTCATTACTTAGTGAAAAACTAGAGAAAGCATAAATGAATATTGTAATTGTTATGATAAATCATTATTATTGGGTCTAGTTGTATAGTTCGACACTTGAAGGTAAGTCATGAGATCGGAATTTGTAGCTTTTCAGCGAACAATTAACTTCGTTTTTGTAAGATAACTTTTGCTCATTTCTTTCACAGATTGCGTTGACCCATTAAATGATGGGTATTTATGCTTAACAGAAGTTTTAACCAGAATGGCTTTCCTTGGATCCCGCTATATGTTGTTTGACCTCTTCGCTGGATAAAATTACCCGTGTTTGTAACTCTGCTTGCTGGTCAAGTTACCTGCAGGTTCCGGCGCCGTATCTTGTAATATTTCGAAAAGTGTATAATTGGTTCTTACTTGGAACTAAAATATCAATCCCAAAAATAACGTCATCAATCACCATCTTTCAACCTGTTGTCCAATTCCGGACAATAATTGACATCACTATACACAGAGGTGAAAAAAATAGTTTGACGGTGATGTCCTCGGCAGGAGGGGCGAGAGGCTATCAGTTGCACGAACCCGAGACAACTTACCAACTGGGTTACTGAATCGCGCTGTAGTTCATGGGCAATCAGTTGTGCCATATGACGAACATCGAGTTCCAAACGTTCCAACTGTGCTTGCTGATCGGCCACCACATGAAGAACCTGTCGCTGACGCTGCAGAAGTTCTCTATCTGAAATAATCGAATCAGCCAGACCGAAAAACAGACAAAGGAAACGATAGGTCAACAACAGAGTCAATATAACGTTACCGAGTCGAAAAGATTTCGGGCGAATAGGGACAATGGAGCAATTGATATGAGAGTCCAGCTATTGGTGACCCAGCCGAACGAACCGCATTTAGTATGCCTGTTTCATCTAACTAGCAGCAATACAAATAAACAGTCACCTAAATTAAACAAAATAATCTCGTTTACCGTGAGAACTATGAGAATTAAAATACTCTCACGAGATTAACGAAATACAGCGAATTCCAGTGATAGTTCCCCTGTACCACTCCTACATATTAAATTTACTTTCGTTATCTCCGCTAGAGTAGACTCACTTATGACGATTCTGAAGTTTCATGGAGGTTTGGTGCAAGAAAACTACCCAATATCGCCCGGTTTTTTTGGAGGGCTCATTTTAGCTTCTTCACAACAGTGTGCCGGAACATGGTCACTGGCATCTCTTTCGCCCTTGGACTGATTTGGTTGCAGCCCGAGGATACATACATCCCTAATTGTTAAACAAATTTCCTTTATAGCTCTTCGGTCACTCATACCTATGTCTCCCCATATTATGCGTCATCCTTCGGATGCTGTCAGGTACAGGGTATTAAATCTCTTTATCCACCCTGAGTGGGCCAAAAGTAGAACAGGAAACAGTAGTCAATCTGTGGGAAGTTGTTTGACACAAACCTGATGTGGTCCTACAACTTCGAAGATTTCCGCCACCTTTAGATCCACAAGCTGGAATCTTGGGGTTCGTTATGCAAAACTTACATCTAGAAGTTAAATTGTTTCCCGAGCCTGATCGCCCAGCAGTTAATGTTTCGACAGACGATATTTCGTCATTAGTGTGCGATTGCAACACGAAGCCCGTTTTATTATTCGCAACAAATCAATCTGAACGAGCCGATGTGCGTGGGATTAAGCCGTTTGAACTAGTTAAACGGAAGCATTCGAAAGAAACAGCACAACAATTGAGCATTGATAATGGCAGATCATCTGACGATGGTAACGCAGCTGCTGACATAGGAGAATGATTGAATACAAAAACATATCACCTGAGGAATAGGATGGGTCACACATCAAAATAACAACCCTCGGGATTAGGCATTACTGGGATCGGTAGGCACGCCATACCATACTGATGACTCCTAGGAAGAGTGTAACAACCGCAGGGCATTTCGATCAGCGAGAGACAGCATAACTCTGTAAAGTGATGTTACCTTTCACATAGCGGCAGAATAATGCAAGAAATGACATTTCTAACTAGTGGTTTTCTGCTTTGTCTGATAGTTCTAACAAAACCAAATTGAGGGGCATGTGATTTCATACAGGTTAGCTACCAATGGCTTACCTAGGAGCAATTTTTGACAAAGTGCTTGCCCATCTGAATCAACCTGAATCTCCGCCGTCCGTGAGGACTGAGACTCCAACAAAGAACGCGAATGCTTCGAGATGGAAGTTTGATCTGCACAAAGGTTAAAAGCGACTATTGGACATTTTCACTATAGCCAACAAATGTGATACTTTTAGAATTAATTACGGTTAAATTCGATGATAATTATAGTTCTTAATAATTTCAGTTGTGATAAACTAGAAAACAGAGTGATGACCGTCGACCGTATTGCTCAGAGGCAAGGGTTTGAAATCCAAACCCGAACATTCACGTTTCAAGTCCTGATAGGAAAACAAACCGTACGCACTACTGACGAGTCCAAAACTGGACGAAACTTCGGTCCAGTGCTCTTTGTCGGTCATCACAAACATTTCCGGACGCATCGAACATTTCAATTAGGTAATGCACTTCAATGGTGTGACATCACATGAACGATTTCTAACTACTCAAATGAATCAAGTAACACGTTCAGTAGTTCGACTTTATCTGTCGAGGAGAAGTGGGTAAATCATGATGAGGGTGTGAATCAAGAAGGTAACGTGAAAATAAGTTTTATTATAGTTTTACTTTTCTTTATTTTATAGTTTTATTATTATTTATAAGCTCATGGTTCACTTATCCCCGAAGGATATTTATGCAACTGAATAGTTTCTTGGCAAAAATAAGAAATACCACATATGGTTCCGAGTAAGTTATGTTTTTAGTTATGTAGGAATGTAAGGTGTGTCAGGGTTTTATCGTCTCAGCATGAAAGATTCAGCAGTTGGCGCAAAAGTGATGACAGTTATCATACAATTGCATAAAAGAAAGGGAACTGTAGATTTAATGTGAGACTAACTACTGTAGACTGGTGTCAATGTGTGAAATTCACAGTACTGCATGCCCCCATTCCGGCCATCACAGATTCGTTTGATGCTCACTGCTAAATATTTTTAACCCGACCATGGTGGTAAGAAGTTCTGCTATCGTCCGGTGCAATATCAAGCCTAACCTACCGGGGCCTTATGTGATTCACCACTCCAAGTCCCAGGGCTTAGGTTGCCGTTTACCATCACTAAACAGCAGGTCCTCGTGACTATGGGTGTTCGCCCCATCTGCTGTTCAACCCACTTAGGTGTGTGATAAAAAAATTAAATATATATATATATATATATAAACCGCTTCCAAAGCTTTGGGGTGGTGTGTTGATATGGTGCAATGAGATCGCTGCATGAGGAAAAATCCAAGACTAAAATGCGAGGTAAGTGTTGTATATTGCAACACAACAACCTCATCCCTCTTAATTGATCACTGAAATTTCCATAATTAACTATTCAACTGTACACCTCTGTTTAAAGATGAACGCCTTTATCGATTTCACTCACCATGATTAATTTGAAATCGACTCTGAGTAACGGGCTTTGTGCTCACATTTAAGTTCTGAACCATGCCAGATTCCGTGGTCATCGAACTGGATTGAGGAGTAGAACAGTTACGCTCGGTTACCAAGATGCGTAGGCGTTGCACTTCCTGTTCCAGCTGAACCAACTGTGCGTTGTAGCGAAGGTGCTGGTTGAGGAAAAATAAATTCGGAGTATTATGGAATCGAACCTCTTTTTTATTATTCTTTTGGTAGGTTTCTGTTTGGAGAATCTAATTGAGATTCAGAAATCTGCTGAAACTTAGGAACTACTCAAGTCGAGTAGTCCAGTGTTGAGGTCATCGAAATAACCGCGTGGGGCTCCTGAGTTCGATCCCCAACCCCATCGCCCGTCTTCTCCTTATCTTTGTTTCCCCGGATAGTCTTTTTACGTCAGCGGCCATATTCCTGAAAATTTATTGTATATTAATACAAAAAGAATCAAAAACATTAAAGAAACAAGATGAATACAATAAAATAAGCTTTAATTTCCTTTTCCTTTCCTTTTAGTAAAAACAATGATTAATGAGAGCAAACATGTAACGCAATTAAGATAAACCAATCAGCTTTTCACTTCAATTGATCCCCTAATTTAGTCATGACTGTCTATCGGAAGCAAGAGAACAGTGTACGCAAAAAAGCAAAGTGAATGAAATAAGTGACGAATCAGTCAATTGTCAACTATCTCTACTCAGTAACAGTGAAGGTCTGATGAGATTCCGCACACTAAGAGACTGACCATTTATTAATAACAGCCACGATGGCTTCATAACATCTTTGTAGCCTTCGTATGCGACAGGTTTTGAACTGTTCACTCTCATAGCCAAGTGGGCTGCACAGTTTATTAACAGTCATTCCCATTCGAAATCGAGTATGTCAAGTAAATAACTGTAGCGCTGTATGTGCACTAAATCAAGGGAATATAGTTTACACATTCAAATTGAGGATGCGGACCTTCGGAGTGTTATGTTTCGGATAACCGATACTTGCTCACAAATTACGAGATCGTCTCTGAATGTTGTAAAATGTAGTGCTAGGGAATATCCTAAACCTCCCCCCAAAAATTCACCCATCGACCGTGTGCTCAGCTTTAATATCCTTCGACTTATTCTTTCATCAGTAGTCGATTGAACGGCCAGCCTGAAAGACGACAACCAAAACGCTCTTAAATGTAAGTTTCATATTTGTAAACACAGAAGCTTATTTCTCAGCTTACTCTCCATCACACCGTTTGAATTATTCACTTCTCCAGTTGAAGCGTGTCACTACTTTTCTCACCTTTGCCTGCGAAGTTTAGCTTCATGAGATTGGTATTCAACGCAGTAAATTGCTTAAATTCAAGTTTCTTACCGCTGACTTCCCTGAGAGCATAGAAGGTGATCATGGCAGTAATCGTTTTTCTGTGAGTAAAACAATAAACAATTCACATCTGTTACTCGGTTGAATCTTGCGTATGAAGATCGGTTCACTTGGTACTGTGTTCGTATTCACTCGTTCTTCGATTTAAGGGACGTAGTGTCCGTAAAACATTCGGTATGAAACGTATTCAATACGCTTTTCCGATCCCACTTTCACGCACAAAAGCCAGCATCAATTCTGAACCAAAACCAGAAGATTCTATCGAAAGGTTTGATTTTTAGGATGTATAGATGTGTGTTAATGTGGTATCCAGGCTATGGGTAAACATAATCATCGTACAGCGAAATCCAGTGAAGCGAACTTCACTGATTGCTACCAAGCTCGCAATGCATACAAGGTTAGTGGTAAATTTTAAGGTGGACAAGGTTTGGACCTACCTTGAGGAAGGGTGAAGAAAATGAATCTCCATGGTCAATACACAGAATGTACAATCAAACTCTGCACACATGCCGTTTCAAGCCTTCTAGTCTGATAAGAAACTACAACAAGAACGCCACTGCTGTCGGTTCGCTGCCATATCCTACAATGTCACCAAACAACCAGTTGTGGAGTCTTTCAGACTCCAACCAGGAAGGCGAGAGACACTTACTCTACCTAATGGCTCTCTGCAATTCTTCATGCCTCGTCTCCAAGTCATCTGCTGACCTCCACGTGGTTTCCTCCAGTCCAGATTAGCTACCGCGAATAAGGCGCAATGTGGTAGACAGCAGCTGGACACGCGCAATACGTGCCCTAGTCAACGAAGTCTACTAATCTGAATTCGGTGTGCTAATAGGTTTATACCTGGTAGAATTTCAAACATACGACGGCTTGCCTCTAGATTACCAGCCCGTTCTTTCCATCCCACGTGGGCCAGACTACGTAAATACCCATAGTCGAAAACTTCCAGTCGATAGATATCTTCTACCTGCAAATTCAAGGTCTCACAACCATGAAGTAGCACTAAACGACCGATAGCACAACATACACGACCTTTCAACTTCGGTGAAACGTCGAATCTACGCCAAAGGTGTTTCAATCCTGCGTATGCTGCTGAACCCTTGGAAAGGCGATCGGCTATCTCTTTTGCTGCACTGCCATCATTGGTCACGCAGCTACCTAAGTGGGAAAAGTATTCAACTTTAACTAATTCCTGACCGTTTAGTTTCAGAGCGGGAGTAGGCGAAACCCAGTCCTACAACATCACTTTGCACTTTGAAGGAGCAAAGAACATACCGAATGTGGTAACTGAACTCGCTAACATATCAAGTGTGCTTTACGCGTCTTCTATACATTCGAACAGACAGAAGACGTCACAAGTGTATTCTAAATCGCTTTTCTCCAGCTGCCCACTCAATACCTACGCTTCGAAGTTCAATTAGTAAGTTCAACAGTACTTCGTCTACGACAAAATCGAACAAGAATGGCAAAAGAGAGCACCCTTGACGAATGCCACTACTGATGGCGAACGCCATATTTAGTTCGCTGTAAACCCTCACTCGACCAGAAGTATGTGAGTACAATGACGTCAGTAATTTAACGTACTTCTGGGGCATTCCTTTTCGAAGAAGGGAGCCCATCAGAGCTTCGCGGTCAACTTAGTCGAAGGCTTCTTTCAGGTCAAGAAACAATGCGATCGTTGATCGACTGTGACCTGGCACAAAGTAAAACTTTGATCAATACATCCACGGCCAGACCGGAATCCGGCTTGTTGTTCACGGATGTTGATCTCTATCAGTTACGGATGAAGTAATCTGGCTAGCGGAAGACCAGCTGAACTGTTTACTGAAGTATTCCGCCTAGCGATCAAATCGTTGGTCCCTATTGTGAATAGCTAGTCCCATCTTATCACAGACTGTTTCACTAAATGGAGTTCACTGACCTCCCGTATTCCGTATCAATCGGACCAGTCTTTTACTAGTCCGTTATGCAGCTGCTACTTCCATTTCACTAGATATTGTTGCCCACCAGTTCTCACGATCCTTCTTGGGGCTCTTCGTCAGCCGACGTTGCAGATGCCTAAACTTGTTTTGATCCTGGCAGCTCGAGATTTGTCGTTTTTGATCCATCAGTGCTATAGACTTATCAGATATCCGATGCCTCCGTCGGACTTGAGGCTCAGACCCACAAGCACCATTCGCTGCGGAATGCATTGTTCGCCTAATCTAATCCCACTGCTCATCTACATAATCACATAATCACTTTGAAGCACGCTTAGCCCACGCCTTAGCTCTGATTTATAGCGTGCACGAACTGCAGGAGCAGACCGTCAATGGGTAATAAGTTCATGAAAGTACCCGTGGTTGTCGGGATGCTTTGTATGTGCGACATAATAATGTTAAGATTGTTAACCATTTCACAAGTATGGAGGTGTGAAAAGTTAGAACAGTTTCAATATCACCCTTGTCATTGTACCGGAAACCTCACTGAAATAAACAGTAAAAGAATCACAGTTCGTAGACACGAGGATCTAGTGATCAGAAATGGTAATTCAGACATCTGAATGCCCAAGTATGCTCGTATGTTAGTGTCTTGGGTTGAAATTAGTCCCCTTATATTTCCCCACGCATTTCAAATAAAAACTGCTAACAAACTTCATTCACTGGTTTGACGTAGAGGTATTTTCCCGGAAAGTAAGGGCACAAAACGCCAACATCCGGGTCATAATTGGGTTTGTGAAGCACCCATAGTTCACATAGAGCAGTTGGTTAAAAACCCCGATTCAAAACCAACCAAAAAGGTGTAGAAATCAAACACAATCCTGGTTTTAGTTCTCATCCAATAAACTGGACACCGGCCCCTAATGTACTGCGGTTTTGAATAACCCGAGAAAATTCAACTGCGGTGGTCTGGGTAATCTGGCACTAGTCCACCCAAGAGCAAATCATGCACTGACTTCTGTGGTAAAGTAGGTTACTGTACCGTTATTTTTCGGGCATGGTTTCTACTCAGTGTTATGTTCTTGACGTGACGTACGATCGATACGAGCGCCTCTTGTCTAGCCCCTAACAATGATACGGGAGAGAGAACACGAATGGAGAACAGGGATGAGCATCAGGCGATACCCAAATATAAGTGGGCAAATTGGGTGTACGAGAACGATCTAGTTCTTGACACTCCGATTGGTCGACCGGACGACAGTTGTTTGATTCGCTTGAGTCATCCAATCCGGCATCGGTTCGCCTTGAGCGTCGCGAGTGCGCTGGTGGTGTGACGCGTATACATGCGCGGCTAAACGGGTTCTGTGTGCTCTGTCCTAACACCTTCCCCCTGAAGTTGAATCGTAGGATTTTAATCGTGGATCGCTTCCAATGGGGGACACGAATCTGTGGTGGCACTTCGACACTCTTGTTGTTTTGTATCGCGATGTGCGATATGTCGGTGGAGAGGGAATTCAGATGTTCTCTTTTTCGGGGTGCCTTCTCCCTTCGTTTTTTGATATTCCCTTTTTCCTTCAGTCACCCACTGGTTGTCTGCATCTACCGGTAAGTATTTCAAGGTTGTTACAAATCTACTTCAATGGATCATTCAACAGTCGAAGGTCGTGAATCCAATCCAATGTTCAATTTTGACGGGTTTGTGACATACGCAACGCCAGTAGCGTGGACGGGGTCAACAGAAACTTCACGCCGGAACTCATCAACAATTTTTAATTGACCTCTCGATCTGGTAAGTGCTACGTGGGTTGTTGGTCCGATGGATGGTGCTTCAATTATTCTCCAGGTTTGCAAGGAAATTACTGTAATGTCAA